ATACTACATTTATCCATTTCAAATATACTAACCTCACTCATTTGTAACAACTAAGGCGAAAACATAATTAATTCAGAAAATCTTTTCAGGACCCCACCTTGATGTTTCGGGACCCCACTTTGGGTCCCRACCCCAACTTTGGGAAACACTGCTTTAAGCTACTGAACTTTTTATTACTCTTCTGCTACTTTTAGCTACATTTTTGGTGATTTTAACTAGCCTTTCGGTACTTTTATCATTTCGCTACTTTAGTGTTTGTTTTGCTAGTTTAGGATTTTAGCTAGCATTTTTCTTCTTTTAGCCTTAATGGCTCAGTTTCAGCTATTCATCTTGTTTTTGTATTTTAATAAAATAATCCATCATTGCTGCTTCTACAAGGAATAGGAGAATAAGTAGCAGTGATGTGCTGCTGACTGAATAAACTCATTTTCAAAGCATACATTTTCATCAGGTTGTGGATCTGCTGCATTAAAGTGTGCATCAAGAAGGACTAACAGGTCTGGGTAGGGTTATGAGGTTTTTGTTACATCTATCATTTGGCAGTGAGGAAAAAACACTCACAAGTGGTAACAGTTTTATCTCCACAGGAATCTAAGTCTCTGTTTTATTTGTTGTATGAAATCTGAACCAAACCATGACCCTCACGCTGAGGAATGGAACTAGGATTTGGGTCTACGATTATGACCTTAATGAAAACTAACAACCAATTATCAACTAATGATCAGTGCCATTAATTTAAATTCCACACTTTTTGTTTAACAAACCACAAAAACCAACCAAAAACCCGAGTCAGAGCTCTACCTGACTGTCCTGGAGGAGGTAATCCTGAGGGTCCAGAGGGAAGACGCATGAGGACAGTCAACACGGCAGCTTTCCCTCCAGAACAAGGCTCCATCGCAACAGGTTTAGGCACACCCTTAAGAAACAAGAATGAAGGTTAAAAACTAATTTTACAACAAATAAGCATGAGGAATGTCATTCTCTGCCCTAAACAAGAAACATTAAAAAATATTACTGTTGTGGAATACTTATTTTCTGTATCACCTTGACACTGACCACTTGTTCCTGTTCCTGAAGATATGTCCACTTTTCATATCTTGTGATATCCTCCGGACGTCATCATCGAGTTGACCTA